CATTTTTCCCCTCATAGATATGCCTCATTGGTTCCTGCACAGCTATCCTAATCCAGCACCAGCACTAGATACCTGTGAGGAGTTCCTTCAAAGTAATAATTTACTTCGGGACATACAATGGAGAGACACTGCCCATACCAAATAAATAAAATTTGACACCTTTACTGGCGAATAATGCTTTTAGTGACATTTACTCTCCATTACCCGAAAAACTATTTTGCTGCATGACATCAAACTTCAACACCAGATCCAAATATATTCCCGTATTTGGGCGTACAAGCTTTATAACATCAATGCTAGGCTCCTAACCAAATAAAGCTTGCCAAAAGTTCTCATTTATCTGCCGCAAACAGAAAACACAATGTCATGAATTATCTGCAATATCAGTTTTGCTTATGGTGTATTTCTATTATCATTGATCATTTAATTTTCGCTGCAAATAAGTCTAAAATCATTAAACCTCAGAACAGTAAATCTTCTAGCTTTCAGAAGAACTTTACATCACCTCCAAGTTTACATCTATTCCTAGAGAACCCGTAGAAGAAGAAGTCTGTAAGTTTAATGGAATAGATGAGAAAAAAATTGCTGTCCAACAACCGGCAAGTTGTGATAACAGACAAAATGATGATAAATACCTAAAATGACAGATTCAGAAATAAACTCTTTAGATCTACGTCAATCCATTTCCTGCCTACAATTAATGAAACGAAATAGGCATCTTTTCATTTATGTGGTTGCAGGCCATGAAGAATTTAGAAACTTTCATATTAGACACAAGTTGCGACGAGTACCCTTTACGGACAAACGTTGATTGGGATACCTCAGAGAAAAGGAAAGGACAATTTTATACCGAAATCGAGTAAAGGAGCCTCACGTACCGCGATAGAAAGGATAGTTCCAATTGGATTTCCTTCGTCGTACCTCGAAAGTTTCACTATGGTGTTTTCCAGTACGCCAAGCAGCTGAAAATATCAAGTCTTGAACGTCATCAAATCATGACGCGAAAGCTGGAGTACTGACCTTTTCGATAACCATCTTTGCCATACTGTCTAATACTTTCTCGAGATATGTATCGATCGTTGAATGGTACATGTGCTAAATCAGATTTTTTAACATCACATACAAAGTGAACAAAAAACGGCCGTTGTACCACGTCGCTGCCATCGGCCCCGCACAACTTCATCGCCTAAAGCAGATGGTTAGGCCACTACAAGAGGAGGGACGACGTAACGGCTGACAGACCTGATTGCGAGCGTCGAAAACAACGTTGATCATCACGCATACTTCGCTCGGTAGGATGTAGTCGCAGGAACGTCGAGCGCGATTAAGCCATTGCCCAAAGGCCGTCATAGTGCTATAAACGTAACACGGACAGCAATCACAAAACAATGCAGCAAACGACGTTACACGGATACCTCTCGACGTATTTTGCTATCATATCCGATGCCATGGATCTGACACGTTTTTCAAGATGCTCAGCAAACTCTGGCTCCGGCCAGTGCAAGTTCAGGATAAATGACTGCAATTCTTGAAGCTTCCATACGACATCTTCGGAAGTTTCACATCCATGACTAAACTCATCAGCTTAATAAAAGATTGCATAAAGAAATCTACAACGTTTCTGCTTAATCGAGTGCCATAACAACTGCAAGTCAATTATGACGGTAGATATCGAAATTTGAACATGAATTGGAATTTATTGAATAAGAATGACAAGTTATCGCTCGGCTAGTCAAAAATCGAATTTTAGGCCCTCCCTCTGCTTAAAGACATTTAGGTGTGGGTCAGATACTCGACTGCTAGAAATCTTTGTATGCATTTTAGAAGAACAAACAATATTTAATAGTCCTTATTAAAACAGCGGAATGTTTTCGATAAAAGAGAATTAAAAACTTGCTAATTCTGTGCTATAACGCTAAGGAGTATTAAATAAAAACAAAATCAGGGGTTGAATTTACTTTTTAGGAGTCCACTTTTCTTTAGCAAAATCTGCTTCGATTGACCTTTCCAATGACTGCTCAGTCAAATCCACATACCGAATGACCATCGGTGCAAAAGTTGAGAGAAGTTTGCTATGGAACTTGCCATTCTTTAAATGAGCTAAAATGCAAAAAATAGAAAACTAAAATATATCTAATTTAATGTAAATTTCCGTTTACCCCATGTACCGATTTTTAGTCAACTGTCGGATGAGTCAAGGCGAAATGTAAGCCATGACACGCACAGATCAGACAGAATGGCCGTATGTCGCGCACAGCTTAATGTAACCACGCCAAAAAAAACCTTGCTACCTATGCTGTTAATCGGATGAATTCCGTGTTCAAAGGAACTTCCAGTTAATCGTTAATTGGATTGTGTGGAGTATGAATCTGAGATCTCCAATACATGAAGCAAGCCATTAATCCGTTAAGGTAATCCTCTCACCATATTAAGGATATTAAAGTTTACTGAGAAAGCGCAATTACATTTTGGGCAAAACATTAAAACATATATGCAAAACACTTTCTGACAAGTGAATGTTCATCAACGAGATCTGCAGAACTAAAACAATACTCATGTTATTGAATTCCAGCTTAATGGAGGTTAATGCAATCGACAAAAACAGCAGATCTCCGCCGTTGCAAGTTACAAACCTGGATAAGAAAAAAAAATTGGGGAGAGTGGTGAGTTCTCCCGTATAACTTATTTAACTTAGAGACCTGTACCTCACGGTACTGCCGTCATCGAACGTTACACTGGCTGTGTTATCGCTAGGGTACCAACAGCCACGCAGGCTACTGGAGAAACACAGGCAGACTGCAAAAAGTAGACGTTTTAAACCTCATTCACGCTTTCTGGAAGTTTGGGTCCTAGCAGAAGACCGAAGGCTGCCGAAGATGGACAAGAAGAACAAGAAGATACCAGTAAGCAATGCTCCATGTTTCTCGACTGTAAAACGATAGATTTACAGTCAAAGTGCCGAAAGCCAACAGATCGATAGCCAAAGGGATAACAGTACTGATTTACTGCAATAGGCACGAAACGAAAAATGAAGGTTTGCAACTTTTGGAATATCAGTCTTCCTTACACTTTCATGCAGGGGTCAATTATGGCGCCCACTTTTTCATGAAGTTAATGGTGGGGCGCTGATCTCCATTTCCAAGTTATCAGAGAAGAGTGCCTTATTTTAAAAGCAGAGTCGACAGCAGCTACATGGAAAGCATAGTCTATAGTCTGTTGCTTCTTTCGCACAGAGCGTTATTGTTTAGCAATGTGAGAAGGAAGAAGTGCGAGTGACTCTGACTGGAGCTAGAACCCTGAACTTCACGGTTCTGAGCCCGAAGCTTTACCGATTTAGCCACCCCAGTCGCATTCATAAAATTATTATCAAAATGATCTGTACTGTAAACTATTGATTTGCCTCAAGTGCCGGTAGAGAGAAAAATGTGTCATACGTACGTTCTTCACAGAAATAGTCGTTGAGCAACTGAAACAAAGGAAACGCGTCCCAAGTGTCTGGCAACTGCATGGATAAAGCGGATTCCATATCCACGGCGAATAAAGACCAGTAGGTTTCCGTGTGACGGATGAGCAAGTCGCTGAACCACGCAAACGCCTAAAGCAAGCAGAAATCAGTAAGAGTCAAAGTCAAAACAAAATACACGGTACTAAGTCTTTAACATTAGGCTCTTCACTTGGAACGAATATCTGTAGAACTGGTACATTAACACAACATGGAGAGCTGCACAATTTATTTCAAATTTATAAATTGTGAAGAAACATTTGATGTACTGAAAAGAACTTTTGGCAATCAAATACAAACTCGATTTATTCTCAATGCCAGACGCTACTCCCTTCCAAAAACAGCCAACAATGCCGCTAAATGATTCTTTCACGCAATCGAATATAAAACCCACTTGCGGAAGGCTTGTCGCTTCCGCAAACGAATTTTGGCGATCATTTATATAAAGATCATTTGAACTTTATGAATAGGTTTCTTCTCACCTCGCCATGAAATTCGT